CGGCCTTGGGCTCAGTTCCTGGAGCCCGCCTCGGGTCCCTCCTCGGCGGCGTCCACTGCTGCAGCAGAAGAGACGCTCCCAGGATTTGGTTTCCAGCGGGACAAGGAAGGCGCCACCAATACCATCGACTGCGAGGCGACTGTGGTGGTCGAAGAAACGTGATCCTTTGTCAGCGGAGCCGAAGTGATCGCCGAGTTAGCTGAGCAGCGCCGAGGGAGTTTAGAGTCCGCTGCAGAAAACCTACCAGCTTCTTCGCGGACACAACAGATAATGTTCTCCGGCTTCTGGAGTTAGTGAGTAGCCGGCCTGCAAGCCGGTAACCCCGATCCAGCCCCTTGATTTATTTCGTTCGTTTGCGCCTTGAATGGAGGCGCCATGGCAGTCTGGCAGAGGAGGCCTGCCCTGCCGGGCGCTACTCAGGGTCCCTGCGTTGAGAATGCTGAGCGAGGTGCTGAGGTTTGGAGAGAAAAAGGTGGAGTTTTCATCCCTTGGAATGTCAGGTCTCTCCAGCCAAAGCCTCCGTATCGACGCAACACAACTCCCCGCCAGCCCCTTCCCTTCCAGCCTGCTGGACACAGGTGCCTGGGCCTCGCAGCCCGGCGCGCATGGTTGCGCCTTCAGATTCAGGCGACAGGACTCGGCCAGAGCCATGTCCCAGGGCAGAGAAAACCCTGGCAGCCTTTAACACTCTCCCTGACGCGGAGAATCCTGTGCCAACGGGGCCTTCCACTTCGGGAGACTCAATCGCCACCCGGTCCCTATCTTCGGTCTTCCAGAAGAAAAATCCATGAGGAGGAATGGGGCCCCCCGCCCCCGGCCAGGCCAGCAAGAAAGGGCCTGGTTAGGAGTGACCTCGGAGCCACTAGGGTTCCACTGCTTTGATTGCCCACACTCTTTTGCAAACGGTTTGGGGGTGGAAAGACACCAGGTGATGGAAGGGAAGGGTGGTGGTGACTGGCACCGCTAAGACACTGCAGAGGGTTTCGCTGTGGAGATGAGAAGATGGAGGTTCTGGGCACTGTGGCTGCGAGTGGGAG